CAGCAGGAGGGAAATGGCGCTGCCTTGCAATTGCCTCCTGTAGCCTCTGCTGCAGGACACGCAGCTCGTAGCAGAGATAATGCCGCTTGTGCGGAAAGGGGGCTTATGGGGGAATTTTTAATTACAAATGGGTATGAGGGACCAGGTTGCCTAGGAGATGGGTAATGTGCTGCTGAGCGTTTTACTACTAGCAAATCTGCCAGAATAGACGATTAAAAGTTTATTGCTTTATCTGATGCCTGGATTGGTGGCCTTGTGAAAAATAAGCCCCTTTGCTCTTAGCTCACCCCTTGCAGAGCCACGGCAGCAGGCAGGATGCCGCTGGCCAAGTGGCGCTTGTGCCCCAGGGCACAGGTGAGGTGTGTTTATTGCAGAAGGCAAAAAGAGGCTCACTGCCTCTGCCTTCCTCTGCTACTACTTTTCCCTGTGGGGAGCTGGCAAGCGAGGGTCCCGTTTCTGCCAGCTTGTGTAGTATGACCGGTCTCCCCATCATTCTGTTGAGTCTAGGAGGCTGTGTGGCGCGGCAAAGGCAGGTTAAAGGCAAAGTGTCCTGAATTAACAGGGAAGCTATCCAGCAAGAAGTCATGTTGGAATGCAGGTGGCTGGGCACAAGAAGGTGTCACACCAGCAACAGCCAGGCAGCAATTTCTTGGCAATTTCTTCACCTGCCCAGTCACACCCATCCTGTTGTGGAATAACAGCAGTATCGTGATCCAGATTACGCATTGATTGGTGGTTGCTTCGTTCTTCTGCATAGGCCTGATGCCGACAGATGAGGTGGGCATGAACAGGTCCTGACGCTAGCAAATGGTTCTCCTTTTGTACAAAACGTTGAACTGAATGACTTCTGTGGACAGCATCCTCTGGACGACAACTCTTGTTCAAGGCACACACAAGAATATAAGAAGAGTCCTGCTGGGTCAGGACTGAATGCCCATATAGTCCAGTGTCTTGCTTCCCACAGGGACCAACTCGATTGCTCTGGGGAGTCTCCCAGCAGGGCATGAAGGCACTGTGGCAACTGGTATTAAGGGGAACTTGGAAGTTCCACACAGCCATCCCTCCCCCTCACAGCAGACTCAGGTGGTGAGTGCCAACAAAATGGGGCCAACTAGAAGGAGGTGCCAACTTGCTTGGGAGAACTCTTGAAGTTTGCAGAAGTACAAAAATTATTTAAAAAACAAACAAACCATTTTTAGGCTCCCCCCCCCCAAAAAAAAACAGTCCAAGGACTGAGCAGCCAAGGAATGTTGAGTGTTTATTTACAAAGAAAGACATCCTAGAAGAGGCCGTGGCTGGCTGGCACCTAGAAGGAGAGCACTGCTGTTAGTCATGAGAGGTGAGGACCTGCAACCCAAATATTGCAGCGTATCTTCCTCTCATTAATAAGACTTGCTTCCCATGAATTTGTCTAAATCATCTGACCTTGTGGAAGCCATAACACTTTGTGCCTGCGAATTCCATAAATAGATCACACACAGTTTTGAGAATGTGGACATTTGCAGTGGTGGTGGTGCTTTGTGGTTTGCCATTGGTGAGCCCTTGGCTAATGTGGATTTAACCTCTCTCCTCTGGTCAATTCCACACACCCCCCATCCTTGGCATCAATAGCATATACCAAATGTTATGCTCCCAACTCCCTGTGCCTATTCCACAGCATGGCAGATGCTGTATGGCCAGTGTCACGTGGCCGTGTCAAACCAGGAGGGGGGCGCCGACTAAGAGCTCCCTACTGTTTTTTTCGCTCTGATTAGAAATTGTTTATTCAGATTTCTGATTTTTGTTAAGCAAATGGATTAATAAAATGACTCATTTATGCAGACGGCACAAGCAGAAATGATTTTCTCCTGCTTAACTCCCCACCCCCCACCCCGCCAAGAAGAAACTTCCTAGTATTCCTTAAGTACTTTGATTCAGGTAATCATTTAATTGCAAATATAAACCAGCAGTGCAAACCCTTTGCATTTTTAACCAGTGCCAGGCGGTGATGATGGTGGGAGTGGGAATATGCCATTCTGGAAGTGCTTCTTTAAAATTTAAATTTTATTGCTTTTTCTGCGTGCCGCCGCCGGTGATCTTGGAGAGCACAGCTGGTGCGTTTACAACCACGTCCCACTAGGAAGATTAGCATTTTAAAAAAAACTTTTTGCTGCCTTTGCTTGCTCTTTGCAGGGAATGCTGGTGCCCATGCATGGTGCCTAAGCTTGACTCTCCTCTAGAGCAAGGGCACAATCCGATAGGGAGCATCTCCTGTGTAAGCAAATGGCATAAGTTCCCATGGTGCCATGAATTTTCAAGGGACTCTTGTGGATTTCATAGGGACTTGCACAGGAGATGTGCCCAACATGTTACATCCAAGGACAGTAAGTGATCTTGGCTATCTAAATTTCATGATATGCACCTCAGCACAGGGCTTTTTACCTGGCAACTGGCAGCATCTCCCAACCAGAGGAGTTCCCAGAGGCCATGGTCTGCTGAACATACAAATTTCCTTGGTGGTGGATCTGACAGTCTCCTCTAGCATTCTCTCCAGTAACGGTCAGCGTGAAGCAGGACACAAGGGGCTTCCCTTTGGTTTGTCTCCATCTTTTGTTGCCCAGAGGAGGTATGCTTCAGTCTTTAATGAGAACTGCCTGACATAATGTTAGAAGAGCCCTTCTGGTGAGGCTGAAGGTCTCAGGTAGCCGAGCATCCTCTTTCACACAGTGGACAAACAGGTCCCTCCAGGAGGCTCACAAGCAGGACACAAGAGCAATAGCCCTCTCCTGCTGTCAGCCCACACTGTTGGATGTACATCAGAGTGCCATATAGGTATCACAGCTAATAGTTATTTGATTTGATTACATTTATATCTCACCTTTTCCTCTAAGGAGCTTGGCTAGTTGCTTCTGATATCTGGAATCCCAAGGTGTACTTCCTCGGTGCATGGAATTTCCATTTAATTATTGCAGCTGATGGATACAGCAGTGTCAGCACGCAAATGCAGAGCATCTAGTGGCCGGTGAATGGGTGTGTTAGCCAAGGCCTCAGGCAAAGGGCCATAGCTCAGTGGTAGAGCATCTGCTTGAGAACCCGGATTGAATTCCTGGAGAGCCTCTGCCAGTCAATGTGGACTAGCACTCAGTAAGCTAGATAGACCAATGAAATGACTTGGCATAAGTTCACCTGTTCCTTGAGTAGCATGAATAATAGAATTGTAGAGTTGGAAGGGACCTGAAGAGTCATATGGTCCAACCCACATGCAATGCAGGATCTCCACTAAAGCAGCACCAACAGATGCCCTTCCAACCTCTGCCTATAAACATCCAATGAAGGAGAGTCTACCACTTTCCAATGGAGTCTGTTCCGCTGTAACTTACAAGAATATTGGGCTTATGCAAGTGTTACATTTAGACATAGACATCCTGTAAAACAAGTGAAGACCATAACATTGCTGGGCCAGAGCAAGGGTTGTCTAGCCAAGTCCTTTGCCTCCAGCAGCACTGATGTCCATCTCCAGTTCCTCTGCTGCAGTTTTTTCAGGGCAGCAGGCTTTAGGGCTATCCTGGAACTCACCCGTAAACAACTGAGCCTTGCCTGGGGAAAGTATCAGAGAAAAGCTCTCACCTCTCTACTAGCCACCTTGGCTGCCTGCTAATAGAGAGGTAAAATTGAAGCATTGAAAATATGCATTTTATAATCACCCGGATTTATTCCTTCAGAGAGTTTATTACAACCTTTTTATTTTCATGCGTGGCAAATGTAATCTTATCTGGCGCGCCGGCTGGCCTAGCTCAGCTTGCTGAATCCGTTTTGCGGCGGAAAGCTATCAAACGCCAGTCTTCCAGGGCACACCGTGTCTGCATGTTAAAGTTGCTTGAACGCATTAAAGCAGCTGAAACGTGCATTAAAATATGGCACTTGGAGAATAGGATATCTATGCAATTAGCCATCTGATGCTTTCAACAGCTGCTTGTAAGTTAGATCCGGTGTATCAACAAAAGGGTACCTTGGAGATTTTGAAGAAGAAAGGAAAGCAAGCTTACTGGCTGCAGAAGAAGCCCTCCATTGGGAACTTCAAGGGGTTGTTGTTGTTGTTGTTTTGAAGGGATGTCAAGTTTGTGGATGTGCCATAGATGCACAAGCATCTTGAACCTCCATTTTACCCCCCCCCCCGGTCTTTCTGCCTCTCCCCCACCCCACCCCCTGCCACCGCCTGTAGTGTTCAGGCATTGCAAGCTGATAGTGCCAAACTGGTCCACATGTTCCCAGGCACTGGGGAGCACAGCTACGAACCCTGCGAGTTCAAGAAGCAAAATCCTATTAAGATAACGTCACGGGCTTTCTGTTTTACTGTTTGCAAGCCAGCTGTAGTATCGCAAAACGGCACAACAGGGAGGTGCCTGCTGCCAAGGAGCCGTGCTGTAGATAAGATGGGGGGGGGGAGCATTGAACCTCTGCTAGAATCCAAGTTCAGGTGATAAGGAATTTGGAACCCATCCAGCTTTTTGATTCAGACAAGCAGGGGTGCACAAACTGCGCTGAAACTCCCTTTTGCCCACCTGGCTGGGGAATTGTGCTGCTGCTACCACTATCCCCACACCATATTCCCAGGGCATACGACATGCTGCATTTAAATAAAGGGTCGGCTTGTTCTGCTCACTGCAGTGCAAGATGACACATTATGTAGGTCAGCAACACTTGGGTCGTTATATTTCCTGAAACTCCAGGAGAGCTGGGGAAGGCAGGATCTGAAGCCTGGTCATCTTCTGCACACATCAGCCCTGTCATGAAGAGTCAGTCTGGGACTTGGCTATCCACATCTGGACGCTGACCTGCCATCTTTGCTCTAGGAGCGGTATTGTGAAGCAGGATAGGTCTGAGAAGGCTGCAGTTGCTCCATCATGCAGGTGCCTTGGGAGGGTCACAACCCCCTTGCTTCATTGCTAGAGTGCAGCTGTTTTGGGTTGATGCGTTAACTTGTGCTAGCAGTGGAGTACATGGCATCTCTGTTTCCCCAGGTGACCCCAGGTTTGGACGACAAAGAAGGGGAGCTCTTTGTGAAGGGGCCTACGGTATTTCTGGAATACTGGAACAGACCTAAGGAGACCAGGGATGCCTTCACTCCTGACGGCTGGTTTAAAACAGGTACCTTGATTGGGGAGGTGCTGGAGCACCTCACTTTGCATGCAGAAGATTCAATCCCTGGCAGCACCTCCAGGTAAAAAGGTCAGGTAGTCAGTGGTAGGACAGTCCCTTCTGTAACAGACCTTGGAGAGCCACTGCCAGCCAGAGAGATGAGATGGACAGAGTAACTGACCTGACATAAGACTACTAACTACATTTTTTATAGGACCCCCAAGTGAGAGAGTCTTAGTGCGGTGTGCCCCGTGGCAAGACTCCTCTATATTGGTTCATGGCACAAGACTATGGGAAAGATCTTCAGCCCTGGTTTGTTTGGCTGGGAACCAGGAGCTGATGCAGCACTTGCGCCTGGCTGCTGCTCGGGCAAAGTTACTGGACTAGTGTTAGTAATATTGATATATTAATACAGGAGTAAACATTGTGGTGTCCTCCATCTCCAGCAGCCCCAGCCAGCATCACTAATGGTCAGGGATGATGGGAGTTGTGATTCAGCAACATCTGCAGGGCACTGTGTTAGCTAAGCATAAATTAATATATCATTTATATCTCTTGTATGCAAAGAACTCTGGACTTGCCTAACTCAATTTGCCCTTGTAACAAGTCAAGAGTAGCATAGTTCCCATTCGGTGTCCACTTACCTTTCTTGTTCCACATTGAGCAGGGATTTGAACCCAAGCCCTGCTGGGACCTCCTTGTGTTCTGTCTGCAGCAGCAATATGGTTAAGTGGTGTTTTGCTCATAGGGGTCAGTCAAGGATTCTCCGCTGATCATATGAACCCCTGGCTGAGTTGAGTCTCAGGAACTAAATATCCCCATCCCTGATGGGGACGCCATACAGTTGTGCCCTAAAAATGGAATGGTTCCTTCTGCTAGCTCCATCCCTCTCCATCCCTCAGGAGAGCCTTGGAATGTAGGGGGACCCGTTAAGAGTTACATTTTGGCCTCTTAAGTCTCTTGACCCAAAGCCGTCTTGTTTTTGACTCTTTCCTATTCCTGTTACTAGCGACAGTGTAAGTGTGTACACATGGGACATTTGTTCTCTCTTCGTTCAGCCCTGGTTGTCATTAATCTTGTAGGCTGCAGAAAGCTTGGGTGTCTGGTTAATTTCATTCCTGTCACTCAGTCTATTCCCACCCCTGCCCAGGTCTTTGTTTGCACACAGGGGGCACTTCCTTTCTGTATCGCTGCTTGTTTAATGTAATTTGGGCTGAGGAGGAATGTGAGAGGAAGACAACTATCATGCAGCATGGCACCAAATAAAATGAGCTGCAAACCAACAATGTCCCCAGTTCAAATCTCATTGCTGTGATAGTTTGCTGAGTGTTCTAGATCAAGTGGCTGTCAGCGTCTCATCTGCAGTATCAGAAGAATATGCTGGCCTACCATGCAGGCCTGTTGTATGGATTACAGCAGGATAACATATGTAAAGCACTTTGGACAGTAAAATGCTATATAATAATAACATTAATAACCGACTTAAGTGCTTCAACCTGACTTTCTGGTCCTTCTCTGTGGCTTTACCGTGTGTATTCTATTCATTTTGTGGTTGGGTGGTTGCTTTTGTGACTTAAATGAGAGCTGCAGTTTGGCAAGTTTTGCTCATGCCGCAGTCCTCCTGTGAGCAGCGAGATTTTGCGGCTTGATGTTAGTGGGCAATGCAGCATTGTGGGGCAATCCGTTAAAAAAAAAAAAGAACGAAAGGATTTTTAAAAAGTTGACCCTCCTGATGAATATTTCAGATGCAAACGAATGGCATGCATTAATTATTGTAAAGGGATGTCTTTAGGAGAAAATGATTTTGAAATTCAGTTTAATTTCATTGTAATGCATTGCAAACAGGAAGGGAGTATGTGTGTTTAATTGGCTCTCGGGGGTATGGCCTGGAAGATGCCATGCCTTTGTCACAGACCATTAGCGATACAGACTGCATAATGAGAAACTACAATCAGCTCACAGCTGCTGGCTCCTACGGGGAGAGAATGATATTAAATGGAAATCAGTATAAATTAAACTTAACCCTTTCGCTGGGCAAATTTTAACTTCCAAGCAAGAAATGCTGGCAGCGGGGCAGTGGTGGGAGAAAATGACAGCTCTTCTGAATTAGAGGCAAGTTGGAGAAGCCTCAGAAGCCACCCTCCGTCCTACCACTGTTAATCTCATTTGACACAGAGTGATGGCATTTTGATTGTTTCCCTCTGGTTGCACCCCACCTTCCCCTCCCCCCAATTTTCCTCCTGTCCCCTTTTGGATCCTTTGAAAAAAAATATATGGTAGGCAACATATTTCCAGAGCTGACACCTCTTGATCCACAGTGAGATGCAGGTTTGCAGGTTAGACTGCCTTGTTAGCTATTCAGAAAACTATGTATTTTGTATGGAGGCATAGGGAGGAATATAGGGAAGCTGTCTTTTAACTGAGCCAGGCCATTTGGTCCATTAAGCTCAGTATTATTTACACAGGCTGGCAGCCAATCTCCTGGATTTCAGGCAGGAGCTTTCCTCAGCCCTACCTGGAGATGCCAGGGATTTACCCTGGGGCCTTTTCCATGTAAAGCATGCATCACAGTCCTTTGGTACATGAATGCTTCACTGAGAAAAGACCAGCTCTTCAAACTGAAAGTCGTCCTGAGCTCCCCACTTGTATTCTGGGGTTTTAGTAGATACTGTCCTTGTGTCTTGAAACTTGATCCCTGTAGCAATGAGGTCTACAAACTTTTTAAAAAGAAATTGAGCAAATACTGAGATACTCAGAAGGTTGAATTCTGCTGTTGTGCTGTGGGTGCACAGAACATACCCAGCCATACACAAAAGACTGAGGAGCAGCATGCTCTTCCTCTTCTATCATTATGAATCCCAGAGAGGTACCTACTCCAAAGCATTTTGTAGCAGCAGCAAAATGAGTTCTAGAGGAAGCATTTGAATGAGTTAAACAGAGTTAATTACTGCCATGGTGTTCCAAAGAATGCAAATGAAGCAGATTATAAATGCAACAGGGGCATTTACTGACACAGCTCTCTCATGGCTTGGGGAAAATACCTTAAAATCCTACTTGCTATACTATACTCTTACCCACCCCCGAGCACAATTAAAAGGCAACCTGAGCCCCCAGACCCAGTTCCCACCTTAGGTCTGAATACGGCCACTTATGTCCCTCCTTCCCATCCTGGGCATGGGGCCCAATGTGGCAAGGCTGCTGATGAGGCATTCTTCAAGGGCATGTGGAAGCTGGCCCTCAGTTGGGGTGGGAGCACAACTGGAGCAAAGTAAACCTGGCGACGGTGCGCTGCTCTGCCTCTAATAACTTCTGAGCCATAATTGAGCATTTTGCTTATTGCTAATGACAATCCTAGAAACCAGCAGGTCAGCAAATGAAGAATAATCACTAGCAGAGAAAGCACATGCAGATTCTAACACGCTGCACTTGGTGATGGATTGAGCCACATTAAGATGGAGCTCCAAAGTTCTAGGCAGATAGGGTAGCTAAAGTCTGTCAGGGTCAGAAAGAGAGCTAGAGGTGGGAACAAATGCCCCATGGATATAATGGAGGGCTGTTAATGATGTGTATCTGTGTATGCTTATTTATGAAAGGAAATAATGTAGCTGGCCTTGGCTCACCTTGCAACTGTTCAGGCTCTTACTTATATAAAGAAGCATCTTCTGCGTCTTGACATGCCAGTAAACAACCCCACATATGATGGGCTAAAAACTTATGGTTGCCTAGCTGTGTGTGAACAACACTCTGCCTGTCATTGGCTGAGCTTCTGTGGTGTCATGAAATGTTCACTAACACTCTGACTTATCCATGGAATGATAACAAACTGTGTGTTCCTGTGAGGGATGTGAAAGGTCACTTTGGTTCAGATAGACCTTTATACATGAGCCCCATAAAATGCAATAAATGCATTCCACATCATGAAGACCACTGTTCTCCACAAGAAGAAGTGACCCAGGTGAATTCAATGTAAGTAGTCACAAAATCACTCAAGCAGTTACAGGCAGCATTCTGAAGCTCACGAAGAGTACGGTACTTCCTAAATTGCAAAGTGCTACGAAATGGTGGGGCGAAAAGCAGCACTCCTTGCGCATTAGCATCATGTCCACGGTTTCATAAATCCAGCTGTTGCTTTTGTGTTCTCCCAGTACCTTGAAATACGGACATAGTCCGCCAGGAGCTTTTCCTGCTGTAACTCTGTGGAAGTGAATATAAGAGTGCAGAGTGGCTACACTAGTTTGGTTGAAAGATGGGCTTTCATCTTGAGTGTCTATGTGCATCCCCCTCCCGCTGTGCAAAGGATTTCTCCCAAAGGAAAAGCATGCTGTGCAGCATGAGTGGCAGGGAGAGGCAAGATCATAGAGCTATGTTCTCCCCGAGGATAGGCTCGCTCCATTCACATTTGCCCACACGTCTAGGAAAGTAGAACCTGGGAGTATTTGGTGAGATTTATTTTCAATTACAGGTTGAGGCAGAGACATGAAATAGTGCCGACTTTGAAAGTGGTGCATAAATCCTGCAAGCAAATCCATGTATATCAGCTCCATATAATAAGACTTTATTGATTGCTATATTGTATCTGTCAGAATAAAACTCCCTTAATGCCTGCATCAGGGCCAGGAAGATAGAGGCCTTGGCTGGTAACGGAATCTGATTCAAGAATCAATGCAGTTTGATTAATATGTCGTTAAGAAAGTAAGAGTTATTTAACTTGTTTGATGCGGGCTTTAAACCGATGACTCATTTCTATTACGCTCCCCTGCTTTTGAGCTGTGCAGAAAACATAAAGGCAATCAATGTTGCTCTTTTGCATGTAACCAAATCCTGTATTTTAGTATTCAGAGTTTATATTACAGCTCCTTTTACGGAAGTCCCTGTCTCTACCTCTCAAATGCATTTCTTATAGGTCCAAAATAAATATTCGCATACCCTAAGCTTCCAGGGCTGGCCCAAGACATCTTGCAGCCTGAGGCAAAGGATAAGATGGTGCATGCACACACAGGGGAGTTGAC